ACAAATGTCCAAGAAGCACATGAAAAGATGCTCAACATCACTAGCCATTAAGAAAATGAAAAGCAAAATCAGGAGATACTGCTTTATATCCATTAAAATGGCTATTATATATTTAAAAAAGGAAAATAACAATTGTTGACTAGGATATAGAAAATTGAAACCCTGGTACATTACTAGTGGTAATATAGAATAATACAGCTGCTGTGGAAAGCAGTATAATGGTTCCTTCAAAAGTTAAATACAGAATGACCATAGGATCCAGCATGCTTCTGGGGTATATGCTCAAAATAATTGAAAGTAGGGATTCAAATGGATAATTTTATAATAACATTCACAGTAGCCAAAAGGTGGAAACAATCCAAATGTCCACCAACAGATGATGGATTAACAAAATGTAATATACACATAAAATGGAATATTACTCAGCCTTTAAAAAATAAAATTTTGATGCATGCAACAACATATACACATTTTTAAAACATTATGGTATATGAAATCAGCCAGACACAAAAAGACAAATATTGTGTGATTCCAATAAGAAGTCCCTAGAATTGGAAAATTCATAGAGACAGACAGTGTAATAGAGGTCTTCGGGGGCAGTAGAGAAGATAAATGAAGAATTATTGTTTAATGGGTAGAGTGTTGCTGTTTGGGTTGATAAAATTTTTTTCTAAATAGTGATGATGAATGTAATTAATGGTACTGAATTCTACATTTAAATACAGTTACATTTTTAAAATTTATGCAATGTACTTTTCACTACATTAAAAATAATTCCCAACTACCTATAAAAAATTCAGGAATAGTTTTTATTTTTTAATTAATTAATTTATTTTTGTTACAGATGTTTCTCCCCCACAACCCCACTGATTCCTTTCTCTTCCTCCCTCCCTGCACTGTCCCCAGCTTTGTTGTCCATGTCCATTGTTCATGCACACATGCATATAAGTTCTGTGATTTATCTCTCCCCCACCACTTCCTCTTTTGGGAATTGTCAGTCTGTACCCCACTTCCACGTCTCTGGGACTACCCCATTCCTCAGTCTGTTATGTTCATTATATTATACAAATAAGTGAGATCATATGATACTTGTCTTTCTCTGTTTGGCTTGTTTCCCTTAGGATAATACTTTCCAAGTCCCTCCATGTCCTCTCAAAGGATAAAAGATCTTTCTTTCTTACAGCTGCATAGTACTCCATTGTGTATATGTACCACTGCTTTTTTATCCATTTGTCTACTGATGGACACTTGGGCTGTTTCCAGATCTTAGCTATTATAAATAGTGCTGCTACGAACATGGGGGTACATATATTCTTTCTGATTGGTGTTTCAGGCTTCTGCGGGTATATTCCTAGAAGTGAGATCACTGGGTCAAATGGAAGTTCAATTTTTAATTTTTTGAGGTAACACCATATTGTTTTCTATAGTGGCTGCACCAGTCTGCATTCCCACCAGCAGTGTACTAGAGTCCCCTTTTCTCCACACCCTCGCCAGTACTTGTTTGATGATTTGTTGATGGCGGCCATTCTGACAGGTGTGAGGTGATATCTCATTGTTGTTTTAATTTGCAACTCTCTGATGATTAGTGATGTTGAGCATTTCTTCATATGTCTCTTAGCCGTTTGTATGTTCTGTTTGGAGAGGTGTCTATTTAATTCCTCTGCCCATTTTTAACTGGGTTCTTTGTCTTCCTTTTGTTGAGTTGTATGAGCACTTTATATATATTAGAAATTAACCCCTTATCTGATATATCATTGGCAATGATGCTCTCCCATACAGTGGGTCGCATTTCCATTTTGATAATTGTATCTTTTGCTGTGCAGAAGCTTTTGAGTTTGATGTAGTCCCATCTGTTCATTTTCTCCTTTGTTTCTGTTGCCTTAGGTGATGTATCAGTGAAAATTCTGCTGCGTATGATACCTGAAATTTTGTTGCCTACATTTTCTTCTAGGATTTTTATGAATTCATGCATTACATTTAAGTCTCTTATCCATTTTGAGTTTATTCTTGTGTATGGTGTAAGTTGATGGTCTAGTTTCATTTTTTGCATGTAGCTGTCCAATTTTCCCAACACCATTTATTAAAGAGGCCGTCTTTACTCCACTGTATGCTTTTGCCACCTTTGTCAAATATTAATTGAGCATATTACGTTGGGTCCATTTCTGGGTTCTCTGTTCTGTTCCACTGGTCTATGTGCCTGTTCTTGTGCCAGGCTGTTTTGATTAAAGTGGCTTTGTAGTATAATCTGAAATCTGGTAATGTGATCCCTCCAACTTTGTTCTTCTTCAAGACTGATGTGGCTATTCGGCGTCTTTTTTGGTTCCATATGAACTTTTGAAGTATTTGTTCCAGTTCTGTGAAGTATGTCGTTGGTATTTTGATGGGGATTGCATTGAATCTATAAATTGCTTTGGGTAGTATGGACATTTTAATGATGTTAATTCTTCCAATCCATGAACAAGGTATGTGCTTCCACTTTTTTATATCTTCCTCTATTTCTTTTTTTAATAACCTGTAGTTTTCTGCCAATAGGTCTTTTATTTCTTTGGTTAAGTTTATTCCTAGGTATCTTAATTTTTTTGCCTCAATGGTGAATGTGATTATTTTTTTAGTTTCTCTCTCTGTGAGTTCATCATTGGTGTATAAGAATGCTGTCCATTTCTTGACATTAATTTTGTATCCTGCTACTTTGCCAAATTCCTTTATTAAATTTAGTAAATTTTTTATGGAGTTTTGGGGATTTCTACATATAGTATCATGTCATCTGCGAATAATGACAGTTTCACTTCCTCCTTTCCTATTTGGATCCCTTCATTTTTTTTTCCTGTCTGATTGTTGTGGCTAAGACTTCCAGTACTATGTTAAATAAGAGTGGTAAAAGTGGGCATCCTTGTCTTGTTCCTGTTCTTAAGGGAAATGCTTTTAATTTTTGCCCGTTGAGTATGATGTTAGCTGTAGGTCTTTCATATATGGCCTTTATTATGTCGAGATATTATACTTCTCTTCCCCGATTGCAGAGCGTTTTGATCAGAAATGGGTGCTGGATTTTGATTAATGCTTTTTCAGCATCTATTGATATGATCATATGATTTTTATCCTTCATTTTGTTTATGTGGTATATCACATTTATTAATTTGTGACTATTGTACCAGCTTTGCATCCTTGGGATGAATCCCACTTGGTCATGGTGAATAATTTTTTTGATGTATTTCTGGATCCAATTTGCTAGTATTTTGTTCAGGATTTTGGCATCTATGTTCATCAGGAATATTGGTCTGTAGTTTTCTCTTTGTAGTGTATTTTTCTGGTTTTGGAATTAGAATTATGCCGTTCTAATGAAATGAGTTTGGAAGTCTTCCTTCTTCTTGAATTTTTTGAAATAGTTTGAAGAGAATGGGTATTAGTTCTTCTTTAAATGTTCGGTAAAATTCTCTTGTGAAGCCATCGGGCCTGGGCTTTTGTTTGCTGGGAGAGTCCTGATTACATCTTCAATTTCTTTTGTTGTTATTGGTTTGTTCAAGATTTCTATCTCTTCCCAGTTCAGTCTTGGGGGACTACGTGTTTCTAGAAATTTGTCCATTTCACTTAGATTGATGAATTTGTTGCTGTATAATTGTTCATAATATTTGTTAACAGTCCTTTGTATTTCTGTGTTGCCAGTTATTATTTCTCCTCTTTCATTTCTAATTTTGTGTATTTGGGTTCTCTCTCTTTGTTTCTTGTTGAGTCTAGCTAAGGGTCCATCAATCTTATTTATCTTTTCAAAGAACCAGCTCTTTGTTTCATTGATCCTTTGAATTGTTTTTTTGGTCTCCATGTCATTTATTTCTGCTCTGATCTTTACTATTTCCTTTCTTTTACTTGCTCTGGGGTTTTCCTTTTGTTTGATTTCTAGTTCTTTAAGTTGTGCGGTTAGATAGTCTATTAGAGATTTTCCTTGTTTCTTTAGGTAGGCCTGTAGTGCTATGAATTTCCCTGTCAGAACTGCTTTTGCTGCATCCCATAGATGTTGTGATGTTGTGTGTTTATTTTAATTGGTTTCCAGGAAGTTTTTAATTTCTTCTTTGATCTCCATGGTAATCCTTTCATTGTGCAATAACATGCTATTTAACATGTAGATGTTTTCAAATGTCTTTGCATGTTCTTGTTGCAATTGATTTCTAGTTTCATGGCATTGTGATCTGAGAAGATGCTTGATATAATTTCAATCTTTTTGAACTTGTAGAGACTTAGTTTGTGCCCTAACATGTGGTCTATCTTTGAGAATGTCCCATGTGCACTTGAGAAGAATGTGAATTCTGCAGTTTTGGGGTCTAATTCTCTGTCGATATCTATTAATTCAGGGATAGTCTTCTAATCCCTTCACAATCTAACGTCTTATCTTCTTACCCTCTTATATTGCTTCCTTCTCACTTTTGTCCCAGTGGTATGCCTAGGACCCAGAGGCTCACAAAGAAGCTATACTGCTTCAGTCTTTTGTTTCATTTGGTATTATTTAAAGGAATGGCCCTTATTCCTTGTTATATGAAGAGTTCAATTCACTTTTCAAACCCCACATTACATATTCATTTGTATTAACAACCTTCTAAACATCCTATTTGTTTGCCTAGAACTGGACCGCTATCATTGGTAAAGCATTCTTTCCCTACTATAAACATGTTGTTTGCATAATTGCTATTGAGTCACAGCTGTCTTTGAATGATATCTGATGAATGGGGCCAGTTAAGTACCATCAATACATTTTTAACTTAAAGAAAGAAAAGTTTATATGTTTTCCATTTATAAAGCTAGACCTGTGCATCAAAGCAACTGATCACTGTGTTCCTGAATAGTATAGAAAGTCAATTTGGGATAAACATTTGACACACATGGAAAAACAGAAAAAAATACTTAGAATTCTGGAAGATTCAGATATCTGTTTGGGAGCATCTATAGGACTAACTCACTCTTTTCTTTTCCCCCAGGTTTCTGAACAGATTTTATTACACAGGGGATGGGGCTCAGTCTTTCTTGGCTGCTGCCTTCCTCATGGCTGCAAGGACATTGCTCAGCTCCTCTCTCTTCCTCTTGGCAAGGATATGTATCCCCACCCTTTTCTTGATGAATTTCAGGGCCCTCTTGTCCTTAGAGACTTTGAGCAGCTCAATGGCATGTGGCTCATGGGGGACAAAGCCACACACCTCCCAGATCATGTCCCACACAAATGTGGTGTGCTTGGTGAAGCACCCACGGCGGTGGCTGTGCCTCGGCTTGCTCACATTCTTCCTCACCTTGTGGCCCTTGTTGAGGCCCAAGGCCATCAGGTAGCACAGAGCCATGGCTGCTGTTCCTCAATGGCTGCTGCTCCTAACTCACTTTTAAGATGTAAGTTTCTATCACGTGCAACCAGAATGACTACATTTGTTTACCTTTCTGATTATACACCTATGCACCCATCCCATATTATCTCATCAAATTATTATTCCTTTTCGCACTGATAGTTGTCAAGTACATTAAGCATATGTCCAAGTTTCTTTCATCTTAGTTTCTCCATAACCTACCACATTGAATTGAATTTCAATAGTAGTTCATTTTATGCTTTTAAATTTCTATGTTTCTTCCTAGTTTGTAAACTATTTTCACACAGCTTAGTTCCGTTCCAGAAATGTATATTACTATGTACCCCCATGTTAAACATCAAGAATATAAAGATAACTATGACTTGATTCTTAATCAATTTTAGAGCACAGTGGAAGCAGAGATAGACACATACAAATAATTTTGATACAATGTGGAAAGTAATAACATGGAGTACTATATGAAAATAACACCTGATAGCAATAGGAGATGCATTCCAGTTTTCTTTCCAAGTCTCTCTCTCTCTCTCTCTCTCTCTCTCTCTCTCTCCCCCTCCCTCTCTCTCTCTCTCTGTCTGTCTTGCTCTCTCTCTCTCTGTCACTCACACACACACACACACACACACACACATACACACACACGCAACATATTTTGTATGTAGCTTTGTATTTTTAATTCAACATTTGTAAGCAGCATTTTTTGCTAAAATAATTAAACAGTGTTATTTTATGTTGAAATAATAGGGATTTATTATAATTTGCTTAATCATCTTGTTATTGTTAACATTTCTGTGGTTGTAATATTTATTCATGTATTAATAACACTAAGCTGGCTATTTTATTTCACACATAATTTATTCATTTTTAATTATTTATTTAAGGATTTTTCCTAGAAGTAGTCATATTGAGTCAATAGCTAAATTAACTGTTAATAATGCCAAAGATACAAGTAAATTTTATTTATCTATTTATATTTATCTTTATTGTTGAAAGTACTACATATGCCTTCCCTTTTTCCCCATTGACCCCTCCTCCCTGCTCCTACACCCCTCCTGCTTTCCCCAAACTGTTGTCTGTGTCCACTGGTTGTGCATATATGCATATAAGTTCTTTGGATAGGGGTAAATGTTAAACCTAAACTTTGTTATAATTGAAGCCTATAGAATTTAAATGACTTGCCTAATGTTTTTTCTTTTAAACTCCCCTGTAGTATTTCCTCTTCTTTTCCCTTTTGCTCTTAACCTGCCCAGTGCTCATCAACCTTTCTTGCTTTGCAGCCTGTAGGAACTCGGTGCCATCCTGCTGGCTGTCAGCCCTGGGGCTCAACGTCCACTCTCATGGCACTGTGAATGTGCACTGCCACTGGGCCCAGTGAGCAGGGTTGCCTCCCTGATTAACAATGTTTATCTCAACTTTAAAGAACCCTAATAATCATTATAGCACCATGCCACATTGGTATAGGAAACCTTTTAGCTACCGCAATAATCACATATTGTAAGGTACTATTTCTCTTGCTTTTCCATATAGCTGAACTTGGTTTTGATGCAATGTTGCCTTTATTTCAGTGTTAAAAATTAACACACAGAGGAACAATGGATAACTTTGTTCCAGACGATTACTTAGATTCTTCACTTGGAAAATACAACTGGGTCTGCAGACGTTGAAAAGGGCAGGATAGCCTCTCACCTGTAAACAAAAGCCATGTGTTCTCTGAGGAGAAGGGACAAATGAATCATCGAGTGCATGCACATTGCATTGTTGCCAACAAAATGAACTCAACCTTTGTTTGGCCTTCAAGGTGATATATCCTGTTCAAGAACATTAAAAACAGAAATATCCCCAGCATCCCAGTTACTACGGAAGATGTACGAGTTTGCCATCCTCTCCTTCGCCCGTTGCCTGAGGCAGTGGGAGGATTTGCCTGCTGTCCTTTTGCCTCACCTCTTCCAATGTTGTATTTCCATCCTCAATAGACTGCAAGGCCCACTGGAATGAATACAGATATATTTGCTACATTAGACGTGTAAAACCACAGTTTACTAGTTCTCCCACTCTCTCTGCCCCAGTGGAATCTACCTCAGATGAAGCCATTCAAGGAAACACCACTATATAATCATAGAAAAACAGCCTGGCCTTCAGCCATCTTCCAACTACCAATAAAATGTTTTGTTGTGTTGTGTTATTTCCTCTCATACCAAAGTAGGCTAAGAAGGGGCATATTTACAGGAAAGGTTAGCTCCATCTTTCATATATGAGCTAGGGGAACACCTATTTCTGGACAGTTGAAATTAAAGCAAGGGATTTGTTTAGTACTTTGAAATTATAGTGGTTTGTTTTCTTCATTTTGCGACCTCTTGGTTATTTAATCATTAATTACTACAGATGTACTATAGCACTCAAAGTGAGTGAGGACTGAGAAAGGTCTAGACCAGAGGTTCTCAACATGTGGGTCGCGACCCCTTTGGGAGTCTAACGACCCTTTCACGGGGTCACCTAAGACCATCAGAAAACACATATTTCTGATGGCGATTCATAACAACAGCAAAATTACAGTTATGAAGTAGCAACAAAAATAATTTTATGGTTGGGGGTCACCACAACATGAGGAACTGTAGTAAAGGGTCGCAGCATTAGGAAGGTTGAGAACCACTGGTCTAGACAAAGGAAAAGAGGCAAAAGAAATGGAACCTGTGGCCTCCGCTCCCATGAATTAGTCTGTTAAACATGTTTAACCAATTCTAGTCCTACCACCCATTTATTCATTAAATAATATGCATGTATCTATATTCTGAAAGCCAGCAGGCATGAGAAAATTCTATCCACCATTTGTTTTTCATTTGGTAGATCCCAGAAAATAATTAGTATATATAGAATGAATCAAGTATATGAATGGCGAAATTGAAGCCTTGTTATTTATAAGATAACAAAGATAAAGAGTGTAAAAAGAAAACAATATAGTTAAGATGAACCCTGATGCCAAGGGGACGGAGAAGTAGGAACCAGAAAAATAGAAGAAATGCTCGAAACTAAAGGAAGAGAATCTGCTGCTAAAGGATCACAGAGGGTAAAGCCTGAAACTAGTTTAGTAATGTGGATGGCATTGTGGGCAGTCAGGAGCCTCACTGTGGACGGTGGTGGTGGAGGAACCTGAGTAGGCAATGGAAGAAGTGAGAGCAGAGTTCTACCAAGAGATGACAAAGCAACAGAACATGGACTAATGGGTTTCAATGAGGCTGAATTGGGATCTGGAGTTTTTCATGCAATTTTGGTACTATGTGTGTATGTTTAAAATAGAACAGGTGATCATATTGAATTGCTAATGGGTCTGGGCATATTTTGTTCTTCACTAAAAAGTTTATTTTAAGAATGCCAATGGGTTGAAGTCTGGATAATTTATTAACTAATGTCACCACAACAGATGCAATAATTTTTTTAAAAAAGAATGCCAATGAGAAGTACAATATAAGAAGCTGGAGGGAAGATATAGGGAAGACATAAAAAAGAGAAAAATTATAATGGACATTTTTCCTTTTCTGAACCTTAAGTAAATGTCTGTGTTAGTATCATAGTGTGACAATGGATATTGTGTTTCATTCATTTTGCTTTGTCACCCTCATGTTCTCAGTGATGCTTTTCCAGTGCAGGGTCTGTATAAGGCCCATCACAGAACTTAACAGGGTAGGAAACAGAATAAACATTCTATTACTCATATTGGGTATTCAGTTCTATTTTACATGGGAAACCAATGCAGACAGCAATTTGTACATATTTCCACCAGTCTACTCTTCACGGTTTGTAAAATAAAAGGGTGTTCACTCACATGAAATGATCATTCATTCTATGCACTTAATAACACTTATAAGAAGTTTTATATGCTTTTTAAAAATACCAATTGCAAGGACAAGTAAAGAACTCTGAGTCTAGACTCTTCAAGTATGCCCAGACAACAAAAACCTAGTAGTGCATTTTTATGTGAGGTTTTCTTTAGGCAGGGACAAATGATTGGGCATCTTAGATATGAAAGTCAGTCATAGATATAAATAGTCATGGAAAAGTATCAGTCTGAGTGCCCTTAGAAATTCCACCAGGAGAAGATATATCTAGGAAGAAAATAGTTGAGATTCAGGTAGGGGGACAAGAGTTGGAAAATAAAGTGAAGGATCTGTGGGTAAATAGTAGAGCATAGGCCTTTAGTTACTTTCTGGGACAACCTCCTTCAAGCCAGTGCCAGAAACAGAAGAGCTGTAGTGATGTGTGAGTTGGGGAACACATACATACATATATACATATGTGCATTCATAAATGCACAACCTTGCTTTCACTTTCTCTCCATAATCTTGGTCACAATGTAGTACTATTTTTAGCTTGACAGGTCTATGTAGCACTAGTGAAACAAAGGCATCTACCACAGCATAAGAAACCGTGGGATACAGCAAGACAGGCCATAGGATAATGTTGGCAAAAAAGACAAAAATGTTCTAAGTAAACCAAATAGTGTAGACTCTCTTGGCATCTTTAGAAGAAGAAAATAATAATATTCACAAATATAGATAGGAAATTATGTGATCTTGATTTAAAACACAGTTAAGACCTTTGAAATATCAAGTTACTAATGGCTAAGTTTCCCTTGCTATTTCTTAAAGTTTTCCCAATCTCTCAATCCTACTCCATATTTCCTATTTCTTCTCAGCATTCACTCCAACTCGAGCATTATGTCCAAGAACTCTATAAAAATCACTACACTTGTGTTTCTCTGGAATTCAGTCCTTCTTCTGCAGTGCTACGCATCCACGGCACCGGCTTCTGATAGGTCTTACCTTTATACTTAATGCTCTTCCTTTCCTCTCGCCCACTTGGATTTGGAAACCTAAGAGTATAATCAAAGAAAGTGCAGAACTTCCATAACATACTAATTACTGTGTAAAGAGCCCTTAAAAGAAGCTTGTCGATGATCTTCAGCAGGTGCTTAAGGTCTTCATAAT